GCACTAGGAGAAGGACTTGGGGCGGTATCATAGGCGCTAGGAGCAGGACTTGGGGCAGTATCATTGGTACTAGGAGCAGGACTTGGGGCGGTATCATAGGCGTTAGGAGCAGGACTTGGTCCAGTATCATTGGCACTAGGAGAAGGATTTGGCGCGGTATCATAGGCGCTAGGAGCAGGAATTGGGGCGGTATCATAGGCACTAGGAGCAGGACTTGGGGCAGTATCATTGGCACTAGGAGCAGGACTTGGGGCGGTATCACAAGCGCTAGGAGCAGGACTTGGGGCAGTATCATAGGCACTAGGAGCAGGACTTGGGGCAGTATCATTGGCTGTAGGAGGCGGACTTGGAGCAACTTTCACCTCAGCAACTATAGAAAAATGGCCTTGCATTCTTGTTTCACAAATATTCCCATCCTTAACATGGCCAAATTGGACAAAATTATTCGAGTAGAAGTAAACACATTTGGGGAAAGACCCCTCCGGTGCTAGCTGGACATAAGGGAACTTGATGGAAATAGGATCTTCCAATGCTTGTATATCCAAGTCTCGTAGAAATTTGGCATACAAATTATGTGCATCATAAGCCAAGATTCCGAAAACTGGTGCCAAATAAGTGTAACCAGGCAAAGGATAATAAAAGGATGACCAATTAGCCAAGTTTTGGTAAACCAGAACAAGTTTCTTTACATAAGGCTCCTCTATGATCCCGGATGGGATGAAGAAATTTTTATAATAGCCACAGACTTTCCGTTTTAAGCTGCGTGTTTTAAGAATCATGGCTGAAACTTTAACCCCTGTCAAACTGGAAGGAACATACGCGTCATAAGGAACACCATATCTGATTCGTCTCCCAGTCAATTCCCTGAAAGCATATTGCCGAAGTAAGGAATCAAGTGAGCTTTGCGCGGATGAATCTAAACTAGATGATTCAGATCCAAACAGAAATGGAATTAGAAACCAGATAATTATGTAGAAATAACTTGATGAATGCATCAGTCTGCTTAAAAAAGGAATTCCACAATCCCTTTGGATCTTTGAAGAAGGGTTGACGTAATGGATAAGGGGGGGCGCGAAAGAAAATGGATGTTAGCTACAATGTAGCTGCAGATCTCAAGAAAGAATAAGGTGGGGGATAACTACTTAGGCCACAGCTGGACAAAAAGTCAGCATCTAGATTAATTGTGCTAGGCTGTTTGGAAGCCTTAGTTAATTAGTAACTGTATTTATTTTGTTTGGTTCTTTATTTTTGGTTCAAGGAAGCTCACTTCCTTATACTTAAAGGAAAATGTTGAAAATTGGAACTTCAACACCAAGTTTGATAACTTACACTTGTAGTAAAACTTGATCAATTTACTGATAACCCAATGTAAAGTAGAACGTACAACAGAATGGAAGGGAATGAATTGAATTAAAATATCGCAAAAAATCATTGGATTATCAGAATAAAAAAAAAGAAAGAATCAAATCTATGGAAGATATTCATTCTCTAACGAGGGTCTTGTACGAGTCTCTGAAGCTATTGGTGCCTTTGTATTCCCAATTTTTGTCATTAGCAGTGGTACACCTCTATCAGCTGCTTCTTCCATTCTATCAATCTTTTTCTTCTTATCATACTTGTTCAGACAAGCAATCAATAAAACCAAGAAAATCAATGCCACAAATCCACCAACAACTGATCCAAATATCACCCAATTTTTCCTACCACCACTTCTATCACCTCCACTGGCGGGTTCGGGTTCTGGTTCTGGCTCAGCAGCAGTAGTAAACTCAACCACTATAGAGAAATGTCCTTGTTTCGTCGTCTTACATACATTCCCATTCAATATATTGTCAAACTCAACTGCACCATCCAAGTTAAAGTAGACACACTTGGGCAACAATCCCATTGGCACAGGCTTCACTATACTAGAAAAATTAATCAAAATGGGATTCTTTGAAGGTCGGATATCCAACTCAGGCAAATTAATGGATGACAAATTCGAAGCATCATAAGTTAAAATACCCAAAACCGGTGTTAAATGAATATGACCTGGTAAAGGGTAATACAAATCAGACCAATTGGCTAAATTATGATACACCAAAACAAGCCTCTCTACATAAGGTTGCTCCAAAACACCAATTGGGATATGAAATTCTTTGTATTTACTAACACCCCTTCTCCTCATACTCCCACTTCTTAACCTCAGTGCAGAAACTTTGATTCCAGTGTAATTAAAAGGCACATTCCCATCATAAGGAATCCCAGTTCTTGGCCTAACAAATGCCCTAAAAGCATAATCTTGAAGAACTGAATCAAGCAGCCTTGATGAAAATTCTGCATTTATTGCTGTTAGCAAAACAATAATCTGAAAAAATGCAACAAGAAACATCAGATCTAAAAAGGGTGTTGGAAATTTCTCTTGATGAAGTAAAATTTTGAAAGAAGAAAAATTTCCATCCCCTTTACATTCTTGATTTTTTTCTTTTTTATTTGTTATAAGCAAGAAAGGAATAGATTACAATAATCTTGAATGCACCTCCATATTCACAAGTGTGGATTTTTTTTTCTAATGAAATGTAGTTGTCATTAAGATATTTAAGAGGAAATATCACAAACACAAAACTTAACAATTATTTTGTAAAAGAAAATAAAAAAGATGTGGTGGAGGGGCTAGTGGAGTAAATGATATTAGAGTATTTAAGATTTGAGTACATAAAAATGGATAACAAATAAATGGAAGCAACAACCATACAGCTGTGCCTAGAGAGTAAAGAGAAAAGATAAGTCATATTCAGACAAATCATCAAGGTGAAATGGGGACCTTTAACTCTTCCCTGTGGAGCATGGGAGTTTCAGCTACTACTACACACGTGACTCGAAGGACGGTGACACATAAGATCGAGAAGTTCATATGAATCTGAACGATTTATTATTTATATATTATTGGAACTATTTTTATGTCGGTAAACATTGAATTTATTTTGATTTTGGTTCAACTAAATCTTGATGTTTATATATTGTTAAAATTAGTTTTTATTTATATATAATAAATATTGAATTCACTTTGACTTTTTCTATATTTATTTCGAATTCTAATTTCATTACTATATTAACTAATATTGGAAATAATTGAGGAAGTCAACTTTTTTTATTAGAAAAAATATTTTAATAAACAGAGAAAAAATTTATTAGAAAAGCTTGAGTTTTTGTTATTTCACCCGAAAGTCATTTAACTTTTTTGTTACTTATTGAAAAGGAAAGTCTTACCCTTTTGTTATTTTACTCAAAAAGTAAATTAGAAAGAGATGTATCAAATCAATTTTGGAAAAAAAAATTAATAAGTACTATTACCAAATTTACATTGTAAAATATAGCCAAAAATTTACATTACATAAGTTTAGTTCAAAAACAGAATCTGATATACAACAATATATATTTGGTATATAATAATATAGAAAATTTTCATTTTACCTTTCACAAAAATATTTAAAAACTTCATATACAATATTATACCCTCAATATACAAGATGATACAAAGTTATAATAGTATACAAATCACCATCATAATTGAAAGTTTCTCTTCTGAGAATAATATTATTCTTGATGTACCCCTTGAATTGTTACATTCTACCTATATGAAATCACGTCCATCATAACATTGCTTATGTCTTATGACTTTGAAACGGGTGTTGCACAAGTACTTGTCTACGATATTTTAGAGGATGTGGAGAACTATCGTTACAAATTATTTTCTTACGAGCGACATCAATTGCTTACTTAATTTAATATGTATACGAATTGATAAGCGATAAATTTTAAAACTCAATCAAACCACAGATACATAATCCAAAATCAATAATTCAATTTTGTCTTTGACCTAGGTTGTTTTTTCTTTTCGAAAGAACTAAAATTATTAACTCGTCATTCAAAATCTCTTTTATATACTTTTAATATACAAATAATAATTGTCAATACAATAAATAGGAAAAATGCACAAAGGAGGAGATAGAAATTATGTACTTATAAAACGCAGCCCGACAATGACTATGCCCATAATTCTTAGAAATGTTGGATAATTTTGAATTAATTTTAAAAATGAAATGGAATAACATAAAAATAATATTATTAATTAGTTTAGATAATAAATAATTAAGGGAAAATGGTATGAAATAGCAAACTATTTATTCAAATTAAATGTTATAGTTATGGTTTATTTTATTTGTGATTCGCAACAAAAATTTATTTTTTTGTCATTTGATTCGGTATACAATTAGTCATTTTATATATTTTGATATAAACTGTATAAAATGCATTTGTGTTTGTATAAAATGAGAGAAAAATGTATATAAAAATACATATATTTTCATCCTATACACTTATGATTATACAAATACAGATCTTATTATACAAGTACAATTTATAAATGAATTTATACAAAACTGAACAATTTATATATAATTGAACGTATCTAGTGAATTATACAAATAAAAAATTTCATAGCAAACATAAAATTTGTTATGAAGCGCAATTATGTAAATTATAGCAATAACATACAAATATAATTTAGGGTCAAATACTATAACGACCCGTTAATCCATTTTAAGAACTAGTCCTCTCTCTTTCATTAAATATCCTTCGGTAAATTTAATAGAAATTTTGAATTACTCTTAGAATTACATGTATTAATTTAGTGGGTAAATTTTAAATAGTGAATTTTAGGTAAAATCCCACTACATCTAATCTTCATATTGATAATTATAGATAGGGTCATATTATATTATTATTATTATTATTAATATTATAATACTGAGTTTGTGGGAAAGAAAAATTGATTGCCAACCTTTGTATTTGAAAAGAAAATATTAATGGGAAAATCATGACATAGTAATTGCTTGTTAGTGTCATAATGATTAAATATATATTGAATAATTGAATCATAAATTAGGTAGTGTTACTACCCTTATCATATGTTTCTCTGGTAACTTCATGGTTATTCGCCAACCACTGGTTTCGTAACCAGTGGCCTCACATTTTTATATTATATATATATATATATTCTTAAATTCTATTATAATTTTAACTTTTTAATATTATTAAAATAGGTAATTTAAATATTAAGGATATTATATTACTTGAATATCTTAAAATTTATAATAATTGGATGAATTAATACTTGACCTTAGCCTTGAAATTGAGAAAATACGAGAGTTGACATGTAAATTGGCATTAAGATTAGGAGCTTGTTACATAGTAATATAAGTGTTGTTAGTTTTGAAACCTTATTGTGGTTATATAATGTGAATAGATCGCTTTGAGTTGAAAGTACAACGATAGTGGAAGGCTCATGTGCCGGAGTGAATTCTTGATTATTCGAGGCAAGTGGATTTCTAAACTCTTGTTAAGTGTTTGAAATGCGTGTATTTCCTTGTAGTATATGTTTGGGAGTAATGGGATTGGTGATGGGTTGACTTGTCCACATTGATTAATTCTAATGATGAAAAAAAAGGGACAACAAAAAGGCAATTTGATTAATTGTGTATGTGTGATGTGTTGAGAAAGGGTTGAAGGCTTGTTGAATCATTGTTGATATAATTTCATGTTTGTGTGGTTGTGAACTGTGCAATGTTATGAAAATGGTCATCTTCTCATTATTTGTGTGAACTTGTCATCTGCGTTATTATGAGGCATTGGTTGTGACAAGTGTTATGTGCATTGAGAAAGAAAGAGTACTTAAGAGGATGTACCATTTCGAGGGACGTATCGCGCGCCGCGATGGTTACTATTATCGAGGGTCGTGTCGTGCGCCGCGACAGATGCATGGACAGATATGTCCCCCATGGGTCCCGGACTGAGAGACAGCGGGTGTGTATCACTAGGTCAGACATGCATCATTGTACTTGACATTGCATTCCATTGTATTGCACATACTTATCATTAGTGAACTTGATATCGTGTTTTGCTGATCTTCTGATTGCCTTTTTGCGGAACTTGTGATTGATCAATATTGAGCTTGTTATTGCGGATATTTAATTTGTTGAAGTATTGTTATTGAGGATATGTAATTTGTTGAAGTGTTGTTGTTGAGGATATGTAATTTGTCTAAGTGTTGTTGTTGAGCTACGTGCTATGTAAGCTGTGAGCTGTTAGGTTGGGTTGATTTTAATGCAGGTTGTAGTTGTAGAGGTTTGGTTGGGGGTGGTAGGAGTACCCGTATATCATCCCCTTAGCATGTGTTTAGAGGTTTACTTGCTGAGTACCGTGTGGTTTGGTACTCACCCCTTGCTTCTACAAATTTTTGTAGGTTATGAGCCTGGATTTTTGTTGAACTTGTCATTCTCTTCTTTTCCGAAGCTTCTTGGAGATTTGTGAGGTAGCTGTTTACATCTCAGCAGACTTTCTTCTCCATAATTATGATCTTGTTCTATTCTAGAAACAAGTTCATTTGAGACGTGAGTTTTTCTTTTGAATCAATTGTAATACTTTGGAGGCTTGTACACGTGACAACCAGGTTTTGGGATATAATGTAAGTCGATAGTAAATTTTCCACATTTTATTATAATAAGTTAAGTTTTAGGATGACTTGTCTTGGTGGGATAAGACAAGTGTCATCACGTCCATTTTTGGGTCGTGACAAATACATAGACAACTCTCTAACTTGCTTTCTTTTTTTTGTTCTATCTTAATCTTGTTTCATTTGTAATCCTTTAATCCCATTTTTTTATGTACTATTTCAGCAAAAAAGTATTTAATATTTTGAAATTATTATTTTTTTATTTATGCTCCCCAATTGCAGTTTTGCATTTTAAAAAATTGATGTTCGTTTTGTTACTTTTTATGTAAAAATAATTAAAAAAATTAATGAATGAACAACGTTTTTAAAAAAAATCTTTTTCTGAGTTTTTTTATATTTTGCATGAAATAACTAATGAAAGTGTGTCATTTTTTTTTTCGATTGACAACCCGACAGATAAGGGTGGCGATCAATATCCATCGTTGAAAAATTACACCGTAGTCATATATAAATATTTTTTAATGTGTATGTATATATATCATGTTATATATATATATATATATATATCATATTAATCCTCCTTAACTTCTATTTAATTTTGATTCTATATATTTTAAACATCTCTCGATCAAAATTCTTGTTACGCTGCGCCGGACAAGGTCGGTTGAGTTTTAGCGTTTCTTTCTTAAAAATTCTACTTGATTCCATTTTTGATCCATTCGAATAAAATCTTTTCTTCAGTTACATTTATTTGTTATCAGGAATTTCCACTCAATTTGCAGTTGGGAGGTCCTTTAAGTTATTCTTAATCATCAATAGATCTTCCATTATTCCACATATAATATATATTTATATAATAAAGCATAAAACAATGATTAAGAGGGATACATCTTTTAGAGTTAATTAAATAATCAAGATTAGTGCGCATAAGATTGTAAACGCACAATACCATCTGAAACAATATTATTAGCTTACAATTACACTCACAACCAAACTAGTGCTACTTTTCGACAAATAATTAAGATTAGATTAGAGAATAATTGATCATGATTTCATACCGTTATAATTGCAACTACTCTGATTCTTCGCGATAGAAATGTGTTTTTGTTAGTTTAATCTATCCGCTCATAAAGAATGAAGAATGTTGAATGATTGTGACTCTGTCTTTTAAAATATATATTTACTAATATAAATATAATATAGTATCTATATAGACTATAGAGAGTGCATATTTTTAATTTGTTTGTATTATTGGAGTTTGGGAAGTGGTCATTTGCTTAAGAATATATATACTAGCTAGCGGGTATTGGACATGCGATATAAAATTATAATTTGACTTTAAATTGATTTAAATATATAATTTATATTTTTTTTAAAAAAAATTGTATTTTTCTCATAAATATAAAAATTCTAAAAGTTATTAAAATTTTTCAATTTTTTTTTATACAATCTTATCAAGTGAGTAATTCATAATTCATAATTTATAAACAAGATACTGATGATTGATAAGTCACTGATATTAATGTTCCTTTTGTAATAAATCTTTGTGATAACAAAATTTTTAAATACATAAAATTTTATAAAGATCAATCAATTAGTCAATAATAGTAATAACTAGTTCTTCAATACGGATTACAATCAAATTTGTTTAAAATACCGAATTAATGTAATTTAATTTAAGTGTGAAAATTAATCAAATTGACTTTTGAAAAGTGTAACATGACAAATAAAAATAAACGGAGGAAGTATGCCTAAACTTAATTGCTCAATCTTCAACAATAATTTTTAAAATTTTCTCCACTTTTACCCTTCATTTAGATTTTTTATATGATGAGTTCAAAAAACGTTATTTGCTTTGCATTACTTGGTTAGTAGTAATTATCATGATGTATGTTTGGTCTCTCCATAGAGTACTTTAACAATAATTAAAAAGGGTAAAATAAAAAGTAACTATTAATTTTAACATTCTTTTTTTGAAGAGTGTTAAAACGAGAAAGTACCCCAATTTGATACCTTCTTTTCATAATTAAGAAAGTTGAATGGTGCCAAAACCTCTTTTAACTTATCTTATTCTGTTCACTCTTTTTCTCTGATTAAGCCTACTTCTTTCAGCTATGTATTTAATATGTACATGTTTCATGTGATAATCGAATTTTTCGGTTACAAAAGCTACCATTGAATCTTTAAGAAAACATGTGAGAATTTATCTGCACCGATTACCTATAATTTCAAATTGAAATCTTGTCCCACATTATTCTCCATTTCTACCGTTGGTCTATCATGTGATTGTTAAATTAGGCCTTGGGCCTATGGCTCAAAAGCATGTTGATTGTTCATGAAACATGAATTACTTTCATTATCGAGACGATTAGAGGTTCAAAAAAGAATGATCAAGTCCCACGACAGTTTTAGGATAGAAAATTGATCTCCCGATATGATTGACAATTGTCAACCTTGAGGTCCATTTTTTTAAATATGATGTTAAAGTCAGATTCATTTCAAGTTTTGATGTACCCAATGTTAGTCCCTTATATTGTATTATTCATGTTCAAGATGTTGTCTCGAATTAATCAAAATAAAAATATTAATCAAAACGCTCTCCGAGTTACTATTATTATTATTTATAATTTTTTTCGAAATCATTTTCCAACTCAGCAAACACAACATGAGAAAAAACAGTTAATCTTTCATAAAGATTTGTGAGCCATGTGTTATTTTCTTCTTTTTAGCAATACTCCTTTTTGATTTACCTTTGCATTCTCATCATGCACTATAAATTCCCCACCAAAAATTTCCCTCTATTTATTGGTTTTCTTTCTTCAATTGGCAGTTACAAGAAAATCCATTTTTTTAATATCACCAACTCCTCCACAAAAACTTATGCTATTTAAAAACTAACCATTCTTGTGTAACATCACTAATATTGCAAATACCAACACTACTATGCCTGAATCAATGACCAAAAAATGGCCACAAAATCTCATACAAAATGCCCTTTTAGAAATGAAATTGCAAGGGGACATTGTACTCCCTCTGATGGCTATGAACTTCACATGGTTTGCAAAAATAGCCATCACAACTGCGTTCCTCGGTAGGCTTGGTGAGCTTTCTTTAGCTGGAGCCACACTTGGTTTTACATTCGCGAACGTGACTGGATTCTCAGTCTTGAATGGACTAAGTGGTGCTATGGAGCCTATTTGTGGACAAGCCTTTGGAGCCAAGAATTTTAAGTTACTTCACAAGACTCTTGTCATGTTTGTTTCTTTGTTACTTGTTGTCTCAATTCCTATTTCTTGCTTGTGGCTTAATGTTGACAAGATCCTCATTAAGTTTGGCCAGCAAGAAGAGATTTCAATGGTAGCTAAAAAGTATCTTGTTTATCTTCTCCCTGATTTGGTGATCACATCTTTTTTGTGTCCATTGAAAGCTTATTTGAGTACACAAAATGTTACAATCCCAATTATGTTAACCTCTGCTTTGGGGGTTGCTCTGCATATACCAATAAACGTGCTACTTTCGATGAATAAAGGGCTAGAAGGAGTTTCAATGGCGTATTGGATAACAGATTTATTGATCATGATTCCTTTGGTTATTTTTATTGTAATATCAGAGAAGAGAAAGGGCGGAAAGTGGAACGAAGGAGGCTGGTGGGAACAGGGGATTCTTGATTGGATCAGATTAATCAAACTATGTGGACCATGTTGCCTTACAACTTGCCTCGAATGGTGGTGCTACGAGATTTTGGTTTTGCTAACAGGGCGACTCCCGAATGCTAAACAAGCAGTTGGGGTTATAGCAATTGTGTTGAACTTTGATTATTTGATTTACTCTGTTATGCTCTCACTCGCGACATGTGCATCCATTCGTGTTTCTAATGAGCTAGGTGCAGATAGTTCCCGCCTTGCTTACAGGGCAGCATATGTGTCGTTAGGCTTGAGTATCGTCTCAGGCCTGTTCGGCGGCTCAGTTATGGCAGCAGCAAGAGGAATTTGGGGTCCTCTGTTTAGCCATGACAAAGGGGTAATTAGAGGTGTGAAAAGGATCATGTTGCTAATGGCCTTAATTGAAGTTGTTAACTTCCCTTTAGCAGTTTGTGGAGGAATTGTTCGTGGGACAGCGCGTCCTTGGCTTGGGACATATGCTTATATCAGTGGATTTTACCTTCTGGCCTTGCCATTGGGGGTGATTTTGGCTTTCAAGGTTCAACTTGGCCTTGCAGGATTGTTGATAGGGTTCATGGTTGGAGTTGTTGCTTGTTTGGCCCTGTTGTTGGGGTTGATTGCTAGGATTGATTGGGTTGGAGAAGCTAATAAAGCACATATGCTTGCCTGCAACCAAGAAGAAGGTGGTAGAGATGATGATGATGATCGGAAAACTTCATCGGTGGTTAAAGAAAATGGCTCGTGAATTCAGAGGTGGAGCTAGAATGTCAGGAGTAAGTTCATTCGAACCATGATGTTGAAATACACCGGTGGAGCTAGAATGTTAGGACTAAGTTCATTCGAACCATGATGTTCAACATACACGGTAGATAAATATGTGAAAAGGCTTTTGAAATAAGTAGTATGAATATTTAGGTTTGAACTCATATTTTCAAAGAACTCGAACACGTGTCTTAAGCTCATGACTATAGTGTCAGCATACGCTCACCTCGAATACTATGATCATATGACTTGATTGTATGTTCTAATGGGAGAAGCTTATTTCTAAGCTAGCAGTCCATGTATATTATCTGAGAAATATGAACGACACCTTTAGTGACTGAATGGAATAATATAAAATGCCAAGTAAAGCACAGAATCTAAACTTCAAAACTATACAAAATTTAGTCACTTTTTTAACAAGAAAATGAAACTTGGATAACCATACTACAGCTAAGACATAATAATTCTAACACAACAGGCTGAAATTTTTACTTTTACATGTAAAACTCCAACACAATTTACTAAAGTTAAAAATTATCTGAACATGTCCTGTTCAAAATGTTTTGATAGAGTGCACTTGGACTTTTTGGAACTCATGTTTTGTCTAAACTCCATGATTTTTACCGGAATTCCATGGCAATATCCTAAAATTTTAATTGAATTAGTTTAAATTTTATAGCAAGATTTGTTTGAACTTAAAATTCTTACTACTTACTAGAACTCCAGAACATGTGAAGTTTCTACTAAGACTGGGCACCATACCGGATCGGAATGGATCGGTATTGAATCGCAATAGGACGGGTTGATCGATTTGTTGACCAGTACCGGTGTGGCTACTTAGTTCCGTCCTGTCCCACTATATATCGGGATAGAATTGGTATGGAGCGGAATAAGGATAAACAATACGATATATGTAGCTATTTCAAAAAATAATAATATTTTTTTTTAGTTATTTTGAATTACGAAAATATGAATATCTTTTTTTTTTAAGTTTACTAGTTTTGGATTTATAATGTAAATTTACTTGAGTTTATTTTAAAGATATTTTTTAAATTTTTACCATGAAGTAATTAAGTTTGTAAGTAAAGTTTATTAAAGTTTTTTGTTTTCGTAAATTTTTGAGCTTAAGTTTTCAAGACTTCAATGTTTTGAGCCTAATTTCATTTGTTTTGAAAATATGCCTATATATAAATTATAAAAGATAAATTAATTTATAAAAAATAACTAATTGGAACCAAACCGAAATGGAACCATGATAAATCGATATCGATATACCTATATCAAATTGTGATACTGTGCCGTTTTGAGTATCGGTTCATGGTGTCCCATTTCATCCGGAAGACTATTGGGTCGGAACGGACTGAAATGGTACCTAAACAATCCGATCTGGTGAGCCTTAGTTTCAACTATACAGGTTGAAGTAGTCTTTGGTTCCTTAGTCCTGATTTAATTTAAAAGAACCCTAAAACATATCTGGTCCTCGAAATGAAATTAAAATATGAAATTAGAAATTCAATTTTTGCAACATACCAACCGTAGAAGGTTAATTTTGATAATTTTATTTATTGATTGAAATTTAAATTACACCAATAATAAAATGTCATTCAATATATATATATTACATTCAATGTTAATTATCCGTCAAAGGACATAAATAGGAAAGAATTAATTAGATATATATTTTTAATCAAATAGGTAAATGAAGAGTATATTGCAATATTTTAGGGGCATTTTAGTTCTCTTCTTTACTTATTCTTCCTTGAATAGTGTGATTCGGACAATCTGAAAATTAACCCAAATTAGCCTTTTTAAGCTTAGCAGAATTTTGTAAAATTTGATGGTTGCCGTTAGTTGCGCATGCTTAGCTGTAGAGTTAACAATGGCGGCTTCAGATGCTTCATCAGACTATCACATGACTGGATCTGCTCAACCAGGAGCAGCAACCCAGTCGGGTGCAGCACGGCAGTGACCACTCCCAAAGAAGAAGCGAGGTAGACCCAGAAATAATGGACCAAAAGGGTCAGTGGCCACGCCAATTTCATCCGTCGCACCTTTTCTCAGGTGATTGATTTTTAGGCGAAAGTCCAGCCAGTTGGGTCAGCTATTACAGTTGTATCAGCCCAAGTTGATGTTGAGAAATGAGAAGTCAGGTAAAGATTGAAAACATAACTTTTAGATTAGTACTACTTATTTTCTTTTCTTTTTTCAATTCTGCATTGCATCTGTTGTTTATGTCAAACCAATGAATACAAGAGACACGTCTGATCTCGCATATATTTTGTTAAAATTTAACCATGGTTATGTAACATGCATTTTCCCTCTGATTTGTTGATTCTTCTGTTAATTGGTCAGTTAGGTATAAACACTCGATATGAATAAGTATTGTATGTCAAAGGATGGGGTTTTTTTTGGGTTGGTCTTAGAATTGGGAATCTTGAACTTGTAGGTGTCACTTGAACGTGAGTGTAACTGTAGAAGTCGATTTTTTAGTTTTGGTATAGTAATCCTCCTATTTCTAGTAATAGAACAAATGAAACAAGTACATTCATCTATGGCGTAATGATGAATGGAAGGATTTAGTTTGAACCTCCATAATATATAACAACTTTTACTTCTTACTGTGACTTCTAAGTAAATAAAGTTTTTGGAAGTTCCTTACTTGAATAAACAGATATCTTTCTTCTTTCTTCATACCTTTGTCCCAAGTGTACCGTCACTACTCTTGTTTGGAGAACCAAAACATTTTTTTCTTTGAGGTCAACATTTCATATAGGTATACTATACTGTTGTTCTCCATTATGGATCTGTCCGAGTATCCTCGTGATGTAGAAGTTTGTATCTAAGCCCTAACTAATATAAAATTTGACCTAAGAGGTGCATATTACCCAGTACCTTATTTTGCGTATAAGTCTGACCCTGAAAGTTGTCTTTTGTGCATCATTCAAACCTATTTAGGAGTTGAGATTGTGAAATTAAGTACTCATTGGTGAAAAATTACAAAGTTGTTATTATTTTGAAAACATTTAAATTCTATAAATATTTTCTAGGAAGTAGATTTCATTTTAAATAGTGTACTAAAATCAATCCTGACCATGATGGGCATTAGTGATTATGCTATAATTACACTAATTTATGTCACATTTAATTCGTAAAAGTGTGATAATCTCTGTACACGTGATTTTGTTTTAACTAGATTTATCTAATTAATTCACAAGTTCTCGTGATATTTATTTGTCTTGGAAGCTAACTTTATAGGCAATACTTTCTCCCGAAGAAGTAATATGTTTGGTGTTCTGCATAATATGGTGCACACTTACTCATTCTAGCTTCTTGATTTTTCTAAATGTTATTTAGCCTAAGTACTCGCGCAAATTTCTAAACTTTTTTATTCTTCCATTTTTCAGTTTCATCTTTTGATATAAATATAGGTTAATTTTGGAAACTAATAGATATTTTTATAATAATGTGAAAACTAATCAGATTGAAGGCATTGATCTTATTGGTGCACTTTCTTTCATTTGAAGGCACAGTGCTTTTGTTACCTTAAAACTTTGTTTTCATTCTTTGACTGCCTTGGGCATGGATGTGCGTTTTCTTGTACATGTAGACTATGCTATCATCCAAGTCCCTCAAATCGGTTTGTGATAGGCATTATTGATGAAACAAGATTTCTCTGTCAGTTTATTGTCTTGGTTGACATTTGCGTAAAAACTTCCTCTTCCATTGTTTCTGTAGGGCTGGTATGATATACTTACTTTCACTTTACATTACATAGTATTCACGGTTAATACTGGAGAGGTATATTGTATCTTTGGAAGTCTTGTAAAAAATGTTCATACCTATGAAAGTTCTCTTTATAGCATGATATGAGTTGCATTTGCAATTCCACTCTCGTCTTTCTTTAAGTTTATATGATGCATCTCTTTTACATTGCTAGTTATACCAGATCTTTTTTTCTCCAAATTGTTTCATTTAATGGGTTATAAACTTGATGGGTGTTCAAAAAAGTTGTAATACCTGGATAGTGCATGCATGTTTTTTCCTGAACAACGAAATGCAATTTAACCTACCACTGTGAATTGACTATTTGCCAATATATCTCTATAACAAATTGCTCATATTTCGATTAATTATTTTGGATGTCAGCATGAAGGTTTTATCATTTTTTCAACAAGGGTCTCGGTCAATGTGTATTCTCTCAGCAACTGGTGTAATCTCTAGTGTCACATTTCATCAAACAGATACTTCTGGTGGTAAAGTGACATTTGAGGTGTTGCATCTTATTACTTTGCTCTTTTTATGGTTAAATCTTCTGATTATCTTGTGCCAATATCATTTTGAAGAGCCATGTACATTTGATGATTGCTTCTACACGTGAAGTTCCATTGTATGGTATTCTTTCTTGGCCTATCAAATGATGTAGTACTATGCAATTCTGGTAATTAGGTGTCGGGAAATGTTATTGATGAAATATTTAGCCTAAGTAGTCTCTTAAATATTAAAACTTTTTATTCTTCCTTTTTTCAATTTTATCTATAGATACAAATATAGGTTAATTTTGGAAACTAATAGATATTTTTATAATAATGTGAAAGACTTATCAGATTGATGACATTGATCTTATTGGTGCACTTCCTTTCATTTGAAGGCGCGGTGCTTTTGTTACCTTAAAACAAATAGTTTTCATTCTTTGACTGCCTTGGGCATGGACGTGCGTTTTCTTGTACCTGTAGACAATGGTATCATCCAAGTCCCTCAAATCGGTTTGTGATAGGAATTATAGATGAAACATGACTTCTCTGTCAGTTTGTTGTCTTGGTTGACATTTGCGTTTAAACTTCCTCTTCCATTCTTCGTATAGGGCCGGTATGATTTACTTACTTCCGCTGGATCATATGCTGGAGGAATGAGAAAACTTATCTGGTGGAATGAGTCTGTCTCTATTAAGCCCCGAGGGAGGGACGTGTCATTGGTGGTCGGATCGACAGTCAATTGGTAGCTGCCAGTCCTGTGCAGGTATTGAATTGATTCTCGTTTACACAGTGTGCTATTTATGCAATATGAAGCACTTTGTTCAGTTATAATAAATTGACATATTTCTCTTTGTTGCTATGAAGCAGATTATTCTGGGAATCCTTCCTGAAAATTAGCATGAGCAGACGTGAGCTGCATATCATCATTCCCTTCCTAGTCAGGTCTTTTTAGTAATCTGAACTAGTTTTCAGAATCTTTATCTTGTCCACCTTTATTTAAAGAACTCATGTACCTTAAGATCCTGCTGTGAAGGGCACAGTCGATTTTTGTGATTTCTAGTGGGTAGCGTTAACGGATTAATTAGGCCTTCAATACAAAAAAGTAACAAACTCCAACTCATCCCCACTTTGGTTTCCTGGAGACACAATGATGTATCACATGAATTCTATAAGTGTCTATATGATCATTTTTGCAGGTTGGAGTGTTCAAGTGACATAGTGAAGGCGAATTGAGGTATCTAGACGTATATATTCAATGTACTTGGAGTGTTTACTTGCTAGACGTATATATTTTATACCTTGTGAACATTGTCCCATGAGCTGATGATAAAACACTTCTACATCTTCATGGTCTTTACTGTTTTGTCGTCGCTTTTTATCGTTTCCTTCGTGTTTAAAGATTTTCACAACATTGTGATTAGTAAAACTTTAACGCAAGGAATGTGCATATGGCACACAGTATAAAATTAAGTCGATACTTTATTATTTCAATTTATGTGGCATTTTTCTTTTTTTATTCGTCATATTGGTAAACATTTAATTTTATATTTTTCATTTTATCTTTCATGTGAAGTTTTATAAAAACACATGTTAATTGCAAGTTCTATGCTACATAATTTTAATGTTTTTGTTGAACATTACTACTCCGTTCCATATCAATTTCAAACACATGTCGATAACCTATTACAACAACACTTGTTCTTAAGTACCCATCATTTCATTAAATTCAACCTTCACAGTTTTTTGCTTTTATCGAAAGAACATCAACTAATATATCAGTTCATTCAGTTTTCTGCGTTTCATTTGTTCAACATCACGAGACGGTATAAAGAAAAAGATTTTCAATCCTACTAATAGCACCATGAATTAGCAATGTAGCGTTAATGGACAGCAAAAACAAATGAACATAAGCTTACAGAAGAGCATGTTCAATGCAGCACAGTGGGATTTTAGTTTGAAGGTACTATGTTACTCAAAATCACACCCTGCAGTACATATGTAGAACCCGAAAACCTGCACTTGCTTGGAAATTGAATAGGGAGGGGGACAGGAGAGCTTCAAATCTGCGATCAAATCTGCTATTCTAAACCCTGAACATTCAAGAATAATGAACTAGAACAAGCCAGCATAAATGAGCAAATGCAGCAGAAATAGAACCTATAGGGACTCTTCATCATCCTCCAAGGCACTGTAAATTAACCTGTAGAATATAGTCTTGGTCAAGAAGAGTCTTACTTATAAGAACTTCCGTAACAAATTGTGGGCTTCTAAACCACAATAAAAAGAACAAAAAAGGATGCCTACGTTTGTACCATAAGTCATATCTTATTCACAGAAATTTGGATATGAGCACTATTTAACTACTCACCAAAATAATGATATGAAGAGGAGAAGGACGATATAGCCTAGTTTGAAAAGCCGCTGTTTCTTTTCCCAATTAAGCAGATTAAAAATCTCTGTCACATCAACAAGGTGCTGCCTTCTCGTGTACCTAGAGCATGAAGCAAACATAAGAAATTTAATTTGATGAAACACATCAGCAATATTAGATATGTTTAATATCTAGTAAATCTCAATCACTGAATCAAGCACAAACAACTTCCCTCATATAAAATCAATGAATACAAGTATATGAGTCACTTTGAATGCATTTGAAGAGAGGGTAACGTTAGGATGGAAAAGGACTGCTACAGTTTCAGCTGGGATGTAATGTAGATCCTTTAACCACTTAGTATTGGTTATATCTACACTGTATTTTAGCAAATAAGTACCAGCTTTTTGGTGGACCTCCAATGTTCTACCAAACATTGACTCATTCCAGCCTATACGACTACCTTTTTGTCCACCCTTACAGTACTTGAAACTAGTTTTTCCTCTAGTTTCATATAGCAAATTGCCCCCCCCCCCCCCCGGACCTTGCTTCATCAATAAATTGTAAGCAATAATAAAAGATACTAGCAATATTTAAAGTAATTTTACCATTTCTTTGTTGCGGTAAAACTTAAAAAGGCTCAACTGGAAACCTTTTTTTTACAAGAGGGATAGACAAATAAGCAAAAGACTAACTAACAAAATCAGCCAAGCACATGAAAACGTATTAGTTTCATCTCTGAATTAATCTATTAGGTGGTATCAGTAAAAGCCCTCCATTTTCAAAAAACTCGGCTCATACGACTTCTCTCTACCTATTTCCCCTGTTTGGACCCATTCCTTTCCACTACTCGATATTTTTGCAATGAAATATAGCTTTCTAGAACTAGAGTTCTCTAGGTCCTGACTTCTAGTAAACGCCTGACCTAATGTTAGTATGCCAACAATGACTTAAATAATAATCTTTGATATCACCTATTTTGTAAGGTCTATAAGTGACACCCCCCAAATTCTTGGCAGGGTGAACCGGCACCAGTGCCTTAACTTGGCCAAGCTGACCAACTCTACACAATGTCTTACTAACATCAAACAGATTAAGTTGTTCCAAACAAGATACACCTAACAATAAATCTTACATTTTCATCATATTTTGTTCCAAGCAAGTTCGAACCAACTTCAAGTGATCACAGGTTAAGGATATGAAGCGCTTAGCAGGCATATGTATTTTAGGGTTGAGAAGGGGAGAAAGGTAAAATTTTCTCCATCTTGTATCCTCTGCACTTGTTGGACATCCATCTTTAACATTCATGTTTTTTATCACTCTTGTTACATTGTACATTTTAGGCAAATCGTTCACTCACATATACCATTGAGAAACTTCACAACTGCTTATAAAACTTGAATTTTCACTTCGATTGGTACTTCTCGATCAGACTATCACAGATGATCCTGTAATACCCTATTTCAGTCATCTCATTGTAACTCTATATGTTACTTCTTCATCACCATGCCCATTCTCTTGGAAGATCAAGTCTGAGCTAATAATTTGCATTTAGGTATCATAATCCCCACTAATCTCACCTTTATTTCTTCTTATGAGAATGAACTTGCAGTTGCAAATATATTCTATCTTACTTTTACCTATCCTTAAACTCTAATTCTCTAGAGTGTTTTTCGACAGTCAAATTTTCGGTTATTTTCCTTGTTAGCTTCGTAAATTAACATAATATCATATGTTAATAACATGGAACCTAAATTGTCATGTTGTAGCTTGAATTTGCTCAAAAGTCCCACTCTGCCTCGTGGACATACCAACAGTATGTCAACCAAAAAATAAGCAACTGGGCTTTCAGAGTCCTAACAGTACATGAGGAACACTCAAGCTTTGAGACTAAATTACAAGGGTTCATTAAGGTTCAATGTGGTGAGTAGGTTTAAGAATTGAGCAATGTGAAATTGGAACAAAGAAGACCACGCATGCTAATCTGAGCCTGCTCAAATCACACAATTGCAAATCTGAGTAACGAAATTGTCAGACACCCTAGATTTGCTGATAACCTTGACACTAGAAAATAACTCCATGTCACAAAAAATCCACACACTACCTACACAGAAAATTCGTTGTTGAATTGTATCTACCAACTCATCTATAAAGCATAAATAACTAAATTGGGAATAGTTTTGTTTATAATTTAGGATAGCAGCAAGCACGTGAAATTTTTGATTGATAGATGGGGGTGAGTCTCGAGTTCAAGAACTCTACCAACTTTTATACCATATTGAATTGTGTAATACGACAATTTAAAACGAAAGACAAGTAGAATGCCAAGCTGAAAAAAAAAGGAGTCGCTTCTAGACAATTTAGTACTGCTCATGAAGTGGATAAACCAAATTTCACTACTGTAAAGAAACATATGCCAGATTTCTGTTTAACAGTTTATTGACAATTAAAAATTCCAAGAAAACTATCAATGCTAAGGAAAGAAAGTGAGCATAATGGAGGAAGAAAATCAAATATCATTTCTAAAACACATTTAAGATCTCATAAGCATGCTATAACAACTAATGTGCTATCCATGGATAAGATGATCTGAATTGGATCAAATCATAATTTCATTTGCAGTGCAGCCATAAAGCAAAAAGACGAGCAGAAACTTACAATCTGTAATTGTAGTACATATATGGAACACATAGAAGTGCCATGACCCAATGCCCTGTTATCAAATAGAGCAAGCACAGAACTCCTTGTGTGATGAACTCAGGTAAAACAACTGCATTTATACGAGATGCAGAGTCGTATGGGTTGATATAATCAAACTCCAAATCTGATAAGCACATCAGCTGTAACACATTTCAAATGTCAGACTTCTTCATCTTAGATACAGAAAAAGAAAAAGATACAACTTCACTGCAGTTCTATGCATGCTATATTCAACAGAAGACATAGATTGTAGAAGCTACCTAACAAGTATGTGTTGTTGCTGAGCAGTTTACAGTTCATGGTTCTTATCCAAATTAATATAAACATATATGTTTGTGTATATATAGGATGTCTTTATAAAAAAATTAGGAGGATGTAAAATCTTTCTCCTGAAACCCTCAGATATGATATAATTTAAAGCATCGAAGTAGGCAACGCATATTTATACATCAGACAAGCCCCCTATATGAAACTCCATCAAGACCAATAATTGTATAGGAGATAGTTGAATAAGACCAGAATCGTTATTTATCCAGCTTAAGTTCAGTATGGAAACTAATGCATCACGAATCTCAGGTTTGCATTGTCAAAATTTTCAAACACTGAACTTAACTAAACCCCTAATTTTCAATCTAATACAAGATAAAAGAAAATAAGTGGAAAGAGTAGGATTTAGGATATAGACCTGAAAAACAACCATGACAAGGAGAGCAATGAGAATGAAGAAGAAGAGAAGCCATGCCCAAACATCAGCCATTTTTCTCCTCTTATTAGCTCCACAAATCAATTGGATGAAGAAGGAAGATTAATAGGGCCAGGTGAGTGATGCGCCCCCGGTGCTTCCTGGCAGCAAGCAACGAATCGGACGAAAAGGCGATTCCAATTTTCAAGCTGAAGTAACGATCCACTTTGTAGCCGTAGCCGGAGCCGGAGCAGTTGGTGTGTCTCGCTCGGAACTTTGACCGGTGTGAGCGAGGCTTTGCTATAGATGAAAAAAAAAACCTTTTGTGCCAAAAAAAAATAAAATTCAGTACATATTTTTTTTTCAAAGCCAAACACATTATTTTTTTAAGAAAGATGAAAAAAAATTTCAGGGTACACAAATCAAATCGATATAAAAAAATTAAATTAGAGTTTGTATTAAATCAAAGCGACATTAAAATATATACTAACTTTCATATACTATTTAATAAACTTCATAAAGGATTTTCTTTAATAACATATGTAAAAAAAAAATCATTATTTATCGAATGAACAAAATGATATACTAATATTTCATCTTTTATATATTTAAAAAAGCTTAGTTTATTATCAAGTCTTACTGAAATGTCAATTTCTTTATTTTTGTGAAAATTTAAATATTCAATCAATTGAGTAATTAAAAAAATTTTAAATATATTTATTTTTTTATATTCATATT